ATATTTGGGGAACAGGTTGGGTGCGGAGAAGTGAAGTCGTGGGTTACTAATAATCATCTGCAGGAGACAGAATTTGGTTGATGAAAAGGTCTAGAAAAAATTTATTCCTGGAGGGACATTTAGCAAGAAAAATTTGCAGGACCAGGTGCTAGATCAGATATAATGGTGAAGAGAACATGTCAAAGAAGACCTCTTAAGTTCCTTGCGTGCATAAATAGGTGAATCGCTGAGATGTTTTTGATGGGGTTTTAGGAAAAAGACCAGTTTGGTGGGATGCAAGGTAATAGAGATTATAAGTTTGGTTTTGAGTATGTTAAGTTTAAGATGCTTTTTTGGACATATCTCTTCAGATCCAAGACCCAAAGGTAAAGTCTCTATTAGAGACAAACTTTGTGAGTCATTTCATGCACATAGCACAGTGGGCATTGATAGGACTGCTTAGGGAGAGAGTATTGAGTGAGAGATAGTTTTGAATAAGACCAGATATTGAGGGACTCTCACCCAAAGATGCCTGAGTAAGAAAAACCTTAAAAGAAGGCTGAGAAGGAATAGCCAAAGATGTAGGAGGAAATCTGTGGGCTGATATGTTCATGGATAGTGTGAAAAGGTAGTATTTCAAGGAGAGCGCTGTTAAAGAGGAAAGTGCTATGAGGTCAAATCATTTTGACTTGGTCTTGTAACAAAATCACAATCCGGTGAATGAGTCAAGAAATTTGCAACTGATTGCGAAACTGATTTTGCAATCAGTTGCAAAATCTAGCATCACAGATCACAAATCAGGAACCCTGTGATGTCCACAGGCTGACTCACTGATAGGTCAATGTCTAAAATGTGTGCCTCACTACAAAAGGGATGTGTACTTAAAGTAAACTATCACATTTAAACAATTGAAATGTAAGATCATGAATTCATACCTTCAAAAGACAGGTTCCATATGCACATGATTAAAAGAATATTCTTGGAAACAACATGGCAGGCTTGCAGTGAGGAGTTGCCAAGGAATGGAAATTGGTATGTCTAGAAGCAAATTTTAAAAGCAGTTTCTCTTGAGAATATCTTTTTTCATACTACTTGATAAACATCTTGAAAGACTGTGGCTGTGCCTGCAGTAAAATTGGCGACATTAAAAAGATCTTGAAACGTTTATTTCCAATCCAAAAGATGATCTCTCACCGTGTTGCCCTGGGTGGTCTTGAACTCCCGGGCTCAAGCAATCCTCCTCCCTCAGCCTCCCACAGTGCTGGAATTATAGGAGTGAGCCGCCATACCCTGCCAATTATCATTTTTTTAGAAACAGGGTCTCATTCTATTGCACAAGCTAGAGTGCAGTGACATGGTCATAGTTCACTGCAGCCTCAGCCTCCTAGGCTCAAGTGATCCTCTAGCTTCAGCCTCCCAAGTAGCTGGGATTACAGGTACATACCATTTTGCCCAGCTAATTTTCAAAATTTTTTTGTAGAGATGATGTCTTGCCCGGGCCTCACCCAGATTGGTCTCAAACTCCTGGCCTTGAGCAATTCTATTTCTGCCTTGGCCTCCCAAAGCGTTTGGATTACAGGTATGAGCCACCATGCCTGGTCTTTAAAAACTTTTTTTAATATTAACCTAATCCATGCATAATTAGGAAGATCCCCAGTGATGTCAAACAAGAAAATAAAATATGTGTAAATGATTTTTTAAAAAAATTAATAAAAGAAAAATTTTCAGTAATTATAGTTTGGGCCAGAAGGGGAAGATGCTATCTGGCTTAAATATAAACATTTGAGAAAAAAAATACACAGTAGTGTTTAATCCTGTCATATTTATCTTCAACGAATTTCTACCAATTGAATTCTAAACACCTGTGTCACACACAAGAAAGGCAGTTTTTTGGGTGCTAAACATGTGACAGGAATGTTAGAAGTATGTTTCTATCTGGGAGAAAATTGATCACACATCATATTCTCCTATGAAACTGAGCAGTGATTCATTCTCACCTCACAAGTGGTAGGTAAGTGTTCTATGGTGGTCAGCTGAATTTGGAGCATGGGAAGCATAAATGAGATTAAATATCCACCGGTTCAGAGGATTCGAGTGCAAACAAAGGGAAAATTCCTTTTCCTTCGCGCAATTAGGAAAATGTCCAATATAGTTGGAAAGTGATTTTAAAAGCTATGGTTCTAAATTAAATAGCCTGGGAGTAGGAAACTCTCCTCTTCTAAAACACTAAGAAATTCTGGATAAAATAAAACACATTTTCCAAACTCCGCAGAGAAGCAAGAATGAAAATAAAGGGAATTCTCAGGGGCCAAAACAAAGTGAATAGAAATAAAGGGGAAGCAGAGAATAAACATAGTGAAGCCCGAGCTGCCCTGAGGGCATGTGCTGCACGTGGGAACTAGACCCTGAGTGGTAACAATCACTCCTAGGACAAAAAACAAGGTTTTAGGCCAGCACAAGGCAGGGAGTCAGTTCCAACAAATACCCCAACAAAAATCTTAGAACCTCCAAGGGTTACACTGTCAATAAAAAGGCTGACTAGCCTGGGTTTGGTGGCATGCACCTGTAATCTCAGCTACTCAGGAAGCTGAGGGAGAACCACTTGAGTACGGGAGTTCGAGACCAACCTGGGCTACCTAATGATAGCCTGTCTTTAAAAAAAACTCAAAACCAAACAAACAAACCAAAAAAGGAGACTAAGAGAAGCCCTTCCAATAAAGAGAGAAAAGTAATTTGTGTGTTTCCATCTTTACTCTGCTAAGAATCTAACGCCCTTCTAAATTCATAAAGGTTTGAGATTCAAATTCATGTGCAATTTTCTTTTTTTATGTTTTTTTTTTTTTTTTTTTTGAGACAGAGTTTCGCCCTTGTTACCCAGGCTGGAGTGCAATGGCGCGATCTCGGCTCACCGCAACCTCCGCCTCCTGGGCTCAGGCAATTCTCCTGCCTCAGCCTCCTGAGTAGCTGGGATTACAGGCACGTGCCACCATGCCCAGCTAATTTTTTGCACTCTTAGTAGAGACGGGGTTTCACCATGTTGACCAGGATGGTCTCGATCTCTCGACCTCGTGATCCACCCGCCTCGGCCTCCCAAAGTGCTGGGATTACAGGCTTGAGCCACCGCGCCCGGCTCTTTTTTTATGTTTTATGTTTGTTTTTGTTTTTTAACATGGGGTCTCACTATGCTGCCCAGGCTGCAGTACAGTGGCATGATTATTGCTCACTGTAGCCTCAGCCTCCCTGGGCTCTAGTAAGCCTCCCACTGCAGCCACCCGAATAACTGGGACTACAGGCGTACATGCCACCATGCCAGCTAATTTTTGTGTTTTTTGTTTTTGTTTTGGTAGATATGCAGCTTCACCATGTTGCCCAGGCTGCTCTCAAACTCCTGAGCTCAAGCAGTCTGCCCACGTTGGCCTCCCAAAGTGCCAGGATTACAGGCATAAGCCACCACATCCAGCCTACATACACAATTTTCATGTTTCAGAAAACATCAACTTAAGATTGTTCCAGGTTGATGGTGACACAGAACACCCTGCGGAAGCAAAGCCAAATTCTCAAACCAGAGTTCAGAGCAACCTAACACATATGTGGTCATTTGATTGACACCCACGGTGCAGTTCAGTGGAGTAACTATGGTTACTTTCCTGGAGTTGAGTAATTGAAGAAAACATAAAGGAGGCTTCTGGCTGTTTGTAATGTTCTTTCTTGATCCTGGTGTTTCCTATACAGGAGTATTTGTTTGTAAAGATTTTTGAGTCAAATCCATATTTGTCTGTATCCATCTTATAGGTCAACAAAAATTATTTAAAATTTAAAAATTCAAACCAAAACTACAAAAAAGAAAGTATCAACTTTTAACCTGTGCTTACAAGAAAACACAAAGACCACATGCAAGTTTGTAAGAAACAAGCACTAACCTGAACAACACTTCAAGTATTTGCAAACTTAGAATCAGATAATGAAATGAATATGTTTAAACTTATAGCAGAGGGAATAAAATCATCATCAAAGGACAAAATATTATTGGTTTCAAGACCAGGCTGACTGAAAGAGATCCAAATAAATCCTACAGAAATGAAAAATACATAATCATTAAAATTTTTTAAAAAATATTTATTTCCATAACAGGAATAAATTGGTGGGCTGGAAGACAGGTCTGAAGAAATCAGTCAAAATGCAACAACTAGACAGATGAAACAAATTTTAAAGAGGTTAAGACACATGGAAAACAGAATAAGAAATTCTAACAGATGATGAATTGAAATTCCAAAAGAAAAGCATGTATCTATGTATGTGTGTATGTGTGTGTGTGTGTGTTCATGTGTGCACACACACATGCACATAGAGAGAGAGAGAAAGAGGCAGAGGTGCAGAGAGAGAGAAAGAATGGTTAATTTTAAAGAATTCTAAAAGATGTGAATCTATAAATGGAAAGTACAATAAATACCATACGAGAAAACCACAGATTCATACTTAGGAGTACTATAATGAATCTGGGACAATTAAAGTGACTATCTAATTCTCTTTCTTATTTTATAATGATTTTGATTATTGGTAATAAAATACATGAGCGAAAGATTCTCTCTTTTGCTTCTTCCAACACTATTCCAGAGTATGAGACATAATCCTGTTGAATTTTATAGTTACAAGTCTTCAAACAGTTTTAGAGCTGCTTTGAAATTTTACATGCTTGAAGACCTATATAATATTTGCCTTAGTCTATGACCTCTCCTCAAATAGGTTTTCATATTTCACTTTCCGAAACAATAACTGAGAGCTATGGAAACTGTTGATAAATGTCCTTTGAAAGCTGAAACAGAAAGCGTTAGTCTTTGCAAATAAAAAATTATCTTCAAAGAAACTTCTCAGATATTTGTGTTTTAGATGTCAGGAGTATCTCTTTATAATAATTTTTTGTCAGATTTCTGGATTAATGCTGATTTGTCATTATACATAATGTGTCTGTATGTAATACATTCCTTTGATGATTTGTCAAAATTTTGGTTTTTTTTCTCCAGCAAAAATAGATCCTCCAGTTATGAATATAACCCAAGTCAATGGATCGTTGTTGGTAATTCTCCATGCTCCAAATTTACCATATAGATATCAAAAGGAAAAAACTGTATCTATAGAAGATTACTATGCATTAGTATACCGAGTTTTTATAATAAACAATTCACTAGAAAAGGTAAGTTCAGATAAATGGATTTGTTTAGTGTTTTTGTCTTGTTTCTTTAACCAATATTTTGGTCATAGTAGATGTCCTCTTCCGCTACTCTGCCTCCTCTTATTTCTTCTTATCTTTAATTCCTTCTTGCTCTCAACCAGCGTTAATCCATGGCTGGTGCTGGCATCACCATCAGAATGCATGCGTGCCCTTTCAGTCCTTCTGTGTGTCTCCACAGTCTTCCCTGCACATCTAAAGGCTGGTATTAACAGTATTGAATTCCATGTGACTGCCACAAATATTTATTTATATGGACTTGGCCCACCTTATTTATTTATTTTTAGACTGGGTTTTACTCTGTCACCCAGGATGGAGTACAGCGGTGATCATAGCTCACTGTAGCTTCTAACTTACGGGCTCAAGTGATCCTCCTGATTCAACCTCCTGAGTAGCTGGGACTACAGACTTGCACCATCATATCCAACTTTTTTTTTTTTTTTTTTTTTTTTTTTGGAGATGCAAGGTCTCACCATGCTGCCCAGGCTGGTGTCAAACTCCTGCCCTCAATCAATACCCCTGTCTCGGCCTCCCAAAGTACTGGGATTACAGGCATGAACCATCATGCCCAGGCTCACACCTTACTTTTTGAATCACATGATTATATATTTGTGTGTTTTGCTGTGATTTTTTATTTTTATTTTTTTTGAGACGGGGTCCGGCTTTGTTACCCAGGCTGGAGTGCAGTGGTGCAATCATGGCTCACTGCCGCCTTGACATCCTGGGCTCAAATGATCCTCCCACCTCAGCTTTACAAGTAGCACACCAACTACAGGTGTGCGCCACCATCCCCAGCTATGTTTTTTGTACTTTTAGTAGAGACAAGATCTGGCCATGTTGCCAAGCTGATCTTGAACTCCTGGGCTCAACTGATCCACCTGCCTTGGCCTCTCAAACTGCTGGCATCACAAACATGAGCCACCATGCCTGGCCTTGCTGTGGTATTCTAATCCACCATCAGTGCTTCCATCTGGATTTGGTGGATAATTGAATTTGTTCCTTTTTTGGCATCATCTAAGATGAGGGTTTTTTTTAATTGTAAGGAAACCCCAGTTCAACTTGTTTAGAAACAAAAGAGGAGGAAAAGAGGAGGGGAGGGATTATTAGGAGATGGGCAAACAATCTCAGGGACAGAAGCAGGACATGGAGTGCCCGCAGGCTTAGCGGTGACTGAGAAGGGAAACGGAAGTAGTCCGAAGGGATGCTGCTCTGTCTCAGACTTTCTGTCTCTCTGCGGCCACAGGTGCATGCTTACAGTCAGCTCTGCTCATCTACACCATTCTCATTTCACACTTTAGATTCTTAAAAAGATGGCCAAGCAGGGTAGCTCATGCCTGTAATCCCAGCACTTTGGGAGGCCGTGGCAGGCAGATCATTTGAGGTCAGGAGTTCAAGACTTGCCTGGCCAACATGGTGAAACCCCATCCCTACTGCAGATACAAAGATTAGCCAGGCATGGTAGCACATGTCTGCAATCCCAGCTACTCGGGAAGCTGAGGCATGAGAATCCCTTGTACCTGAGAGGCGGAGGTAGTAGTCAGCCGAAATAGTGCCACTGCACTCCAGGCTGGGTGACGGACTGAAGTTGTGTCTCAAAAAAACAAACAAAATTCTTAAAAAGAAGACTCTAACCACAGGGTCAACCAACTCCCAGCCGTCAAAGAGAAGTCAAGTTCACCTACACGGCCATTTGCCCTGTCCTTTTACCAAGCTATGGCCTAGGACTCTAGGGAAGAAGGGTGTGTCTAGGAAGAAATCCCACAACCCAGCCACAACTGTGACCATGTACAACTTGTTAATTTACACAAAAATACAGCTCTGATTTAATGGCAACAACTTGTCATCTGATTTTTTTCTCTCTTGTGTGTAGGAGAAAAAGGTTTATGAAGGGACTCACAGAGTTGTTGAAATTGAAGCTCTAACACCACACTCCAGCTACTGTGTCGTGGCTGAAATATATCAGCCCATGTTAAACAGAAGTCAGAGAAGTGAAGAGAGATGTGTGGAAACTCCATGACTTGTGGGCATTCAACAATGTGGAAATGCTCAAACTCCCTGAGAATGGGATGACTCATGTTTGAAGGATCTTATTTAAAGTTGTTTTTGTGTTTTCTTAAAGCAATATTCACTGTTAACACCTTTGGGACTTCTTTGTTTATCCATTCTTTCATCCTTTCTATTTCATTTATAAACTATATTTGAGTAACAGTCTCTCCAAAAATCAAAATTTAAAAGACGCGGCAGAGAATAAAGGGTTCTATGAAATTCAGAACTTTATTTCTGAATGTAACATCCCTAATAACAACTTTCATTCTTCTAAGACAGTAAAATAAAAATTTAACAACCAAGGAATAGTATTTAAGAAAATGTTGAAATAATTTTTTGAAAATAGCATTACAGACTGAGGCAGTCCTGAAGCAATCGTTTTTCACTCTCTTATTGAGCCAGTTAAATTGGCATTGTTAAACCAATTTAAAATTTCTATATGGATGAATATTTTTCATATCTTTCTATTTTCTATGAATATACTTTTTATATATGTATTTATTATTATTAAATATTTCTACTTAATAAATCAAAAATTTTTTAACCTGTTTTTTTTTTCACGTGTAGTATAGGAAACTTTTTTTTTTTATTGCATTTTAGGTTTGGGAGTACATGTGATGAACATGCAAGATTGTTGCATAAATGAATCAAAATTTTGTTTCAAATTCTATTCTCTTTAAATAAGAACAGGTTTTGGGCTAAAAAAATCTCCTGATTTCTGGATTGACAGCTGAATTAAGACTATCAACAATAAGGAAGTCTACTCAACACAATTGTCCCTCATTTAAAACATACGTTAAGATTTTCTTTTCTATTTTTGCTTTGTTTAGTTTTTAATCCTGTCTTAGAAGAATTTATCTTTATTCTCAAAATTAAATGTAATACTTTTTAGCAACAAAAAAGAAAAGAAACCACATTACTCAACCCTTCTGGCCAAGACTATCTTGCTTGTGGTGCCTTCCTCATCTCTACATAGGAGGACCCCATGAATGGTGGTTTATTGGGAAATGCTGGAGTCTAAGCAGAGAACTCAGCTTGAAGCTGGAAGCACACGGGGTAGCAGGAGAAGAACTGGTGTTGGTAGGTGCCTACGGAGACTATAGAGCTAGACAAAGCCCTCCAAACTGGCCCCTCCTGCCCATCTGCCTCTCCTGAGTAGCAACCTGGTGGCCTAAGACTCAGTGTGATCAACAGAAAGCCACTTTCTTCACTTGAGACTTAGTCCTATATGTTTAAGGTTGTCTTTCTAGTGCAGAGATACCTATCAGACAGCATTTATACAATTTCCCATGAAAATTGCTCTAAAGTGTGATAACAATATAGTCAGTGCTTCCAGTTATATACAAGTACTCAGTGATGAATGGATTAAAAAATATTCAGAAATGTATTGGGGAGTGGGGGAGAATAATAGGCAGAGGAGCAAGAGCTAGAGAGGTGGTGTCCTTGCTTCCCTGTACGGTCAGAAAACATTGATTTGAGCATAGATGCAGAGACTGAAAAAAAATTTTTACTTTGATCTCTGTTTTTGAATTCTTATTTTTTATGTTTTACTTACTACCTTTTTTGCCTTTTGCGGAGAGGGTGATGAATCGAGAGCAGTGGGGTGGGTGGAGAGAAAGTAAAATTTCAAACAGCATTTTAGTGAATGCAATTCAGGAGTCCTGAAGCCTGACATAAAAAAAAAAAATTCATGTACAGTTTTTTGATGACAGTGATTAGATAACATCAGGTTTTGTTGGTATGTTGTTTGCCTTGCTCTGGTTTTGCTTTTGCGCTTAGGCAAGTACAAAATACTCTGTGAAAATCATAACTGTCATCTTCTTCATTGTGTTGGGGATATATTTTCATACTATTTCAATAAATCCTTTACTTTTTTGCTTTGCATTTTGGAATGTGTGTTATTTGAGCTTTTAAAAGAAGGATACAATGTTTAAGTCCACCAGATGAAATTCCAAGTAAACACCTCAGGTCCACGTGAAGTTCCGATCAGGAAGAAGCAGTGTTGAGCCGGAATGAGCTTGCCCCGTGATAGAATGCAATCCCAGTCTTACAGCTGCTCAGGCCAAAAGCTTTGAGGTCATCTTTGCCTCCCTCCTTTCATTCACGTCATATATATTCAATGCACCAATACATCCTATTGATCTACCTCCAAAACACAACACTTCTCAGAACTACCTTTTCCAGGCCACCATCGTTTCTCCCCTGGATGGTGGCTGTGGCCGCCTCACTGATGTGTCCTTCTTCTACATGCCTCTTTCCAGTCTAGGCTTACCAGGGTGGCCAGCATGAGCCTTGGAACGTAAATGAGATCATGTCGCTTTTCTGCTCTAAAACTTCCAATGGCTTCCCATCTCATAAGAGTAAAAGAAAACAAAGTCTTTATAATGGCCTCCAAGGCCCTGTATGATCTTTTTTCTTTCCTCATAATCTCCCAGACCTCACTCCCTAATTCTCACCTTGCTCACTCTGCTCCAGCACACAGAGCCCCTGCTTGCCCTCAGATACAAATGCCCTAGGCTTCCAGGCCTTTGCACCTGCTGTTTGCTGGAAGGCTGTACCCCCATGTTTCCATAGATTCACTTCTTCACCTCTGTCAGATCTTTCCTCTGTCAGATCTTGCCTTATCAGTGAGGCTACCTTCACTATTCAATCTAAAATTGCAACCTACTCTCTGCAATGATCTATATCCCTCAGTTTCCTTCTCAGAACTTAAATCATCTGACACGCTGTAGTTTACTTGTTGACCTTGTTTATTATCTTCCTCCTCTTCCACTAGAATGCAAAGGCAGGTTTCTGGTTCTTTTTCCACAGCCATATCTGCATTATCTATACCAGAACTTGGTACCTAGCAGACAATTAGTATTTGTTGAATAAATTAATGAAGAGTAGAAGGACTGAGTTCATGAGAGAGGTGGGTCAGGAGACCCGGAGAGGGGCTTTTCTTGTAATTTCTTACAACTTGCTGCCTCATCTTCTTCCGTGGGTAAGTGTGAGAAAGAGGCATTTTTTACCAGGATGCAGAAACCAAGACGTGCAGAGACCAGATTTTGTGCAGTCCTGGTGCCACAGCAGAGGGCTATTCTAGAATCATCATTCTTCCTCCAACAGAGTGTCACTCCCGAGGTATTATTTCTTCTCCCTGGCTGGTGGTCAAGCCCAAAAGTCCTGTCCCAGATTTTCTTCAAAAGGAGAGAGAGAGTAAAATTGGGTCTGGAAAAAAGACATATCCGTATTGACAAAAAAAAGAATTTTAGAGTCTCCTCTAAAAAGGTTGAGGCAAGTAGATAAAACCATGAAAAACCAGGATGCCTTATGTGATGGTTAATATTGAGTGTCAATTTGATTGGATTGAAGGATGCAAAGTATTATTCCTGGATGTGTCTGTGAGGGTGTTGCCAAAAGAGATTAACATTTAAGTCAGACTGGGCGAGGCAGACCCACTCTCAATCTGGGTGGGCATCGTCTAAGCAGATGTCAGTGCAGCTAGAGTAAAGCACGCAGAAGACGGTGGAAAGAACAGACTTGCTGACTAGGGTAGTGGTTAGTATTGCTTTTGAGTGTGTTGGTTTTGGACGCATTTTAGCTTGAGTCAAAGGAACAAACAGTGTACCCGCAACATTCTTTCTTCACCAATTTTTTTTTCTTTTGAAACGAAAACAAAATTCTCATTCCTTAAGAATTAGCAAAACACAAGCCCTCATGACCACTGCCTCACAAGTCAGAGAAAAAGTTAGAGGGCAGCTATGACGAGACTAGTTTAAGTGGTAATGAAGTTACTTACATACATTCAGAAATTTATACAAGGAGCGCTTTGTGCACGGGGGTAGGTGGGCCAGGCACATCCTGGCAGTGCAACAAGCCCTGGAAATCCAGGCACACCTTGTCTTTCCACTCTGACATTCTCCGGCATGTAGGGGCTTTTGTCCTTATTCTTTTTGCCTCAGGGTTAAAAGATGCTTTCTGCACCTCACAAGATGCTTTCGGTCCACTCTTCTATTAGGAACTAGGGGGAAGAGGTGAGGGTGAAAGTTGTGGCAGTACCTACTTAAACACGTAACTAAAATCTTCTTGAAAGTTCTACCCAGGATAAATGGTGGAAATAGAGAGAGCTGGATGGATCTAAGAAATATTTAGAAGGGAAAGTTAATAGGACTTGGAAACAAATTCGATATGAAGGATGAGAGGGAGGTGCTAAGGATGATGTCAAGATTTCTGGTCTGGGTGCCTGGATAGGCGATGGTGCCACTCACTTAGGGGACTGGGTTTTGGGAGAAGATCATGGGTTTAGTTATGTTGAGCGTGAGGTGCCTCCAAAACATCCAAAAGATGTCCAGTAGACAATTAGATATATTACTCTCCTTCCTTGTGTTGCGTGGTAAAGCATGGTGGCCAGTAAGTCACTCAGTAAGTCCACAGGACCTGGCCCAGACAGAAACACGATGAGCTAGGCTGGTGAACCCAAATCTGGATGCGTCTGTCCCACTGGGGACAGATCACTGCCACCTCCAAGATATGCTAACATCCAAGGTATTCACAGGCCACTTCCTGACGGGACACTCAGGCCTGCAGCAGCCAGGTCAGCCTCAGCGAGAGGAGGCCCAGTTTCCAAGCCATGTGGGACCCCTGTTCCTACTGCACTGATACTTGTTCTCGAGCACATTGAGAAAACACCAGGGTGTCTGGGAAAGAGACTGAGTAGGTCACAGGTCCACAGAGCAGGTCACCTTGTCCACTGATCCTGACATCCTGCAGTCGTATTTGTGCTGCAAGGTTGGATCGAGTCTTGCTGTGCTCTTCCTGCCTCATGGCTTGATGGTCCAGAGAAGACCCATTCATGATGAGAAGTGCAGGCCACATGGTCACAGAGAACCCCGGGTCAGGCTTTCAGCCTCCCTCAGGGTGAGTAATAAGCCAACAGACGTTTTCCAGAATGAGTCTAGTTATTTGCTGAAGAGGGTAGGATTTTAGTCTAGAACCCTGGAAGCCATGGCTGTGTGTCTGCTGGTCAGGGCTCGCCACCCACTTCCTGCTTGGTCTCTCCCATAGTGTCACCTCCTCCACCAGGCTTTCATAGTCCAGCCAGAGTGGTTTTTCTAAAACTGAAATCTGGCCCTGGCTAAAATCTGAACTTTAATTTGTTCGATCACAATCCTTCAACACATATTTAATAAGCACAATTACGTGCTGGTTTCAGGTCTGGAGGATTCAGCAGAGACCAAGATAAAAAGTAACAGCAAAAACCACAATTACTTTTGCACGAACCTTATATTACACATATATGTGTATGTAAACATATATATTTTTAAGCATAAAAAAATGAATTAAAAATTAATTACAGGAATCTATATGAAATATATATA